ATATAATAAGGTTCCGATTTTGATACAATCCTTCTAATTATTCTTTATAATACAATACTATAAACAGTTAAAACTACTTTTTATATTGCTTTTAGTTTTGTGTTGAAATTTTAACTTCTTTCAAAATTATTATTTGTATTATTTACATGTACTCTTATTAAGACCTTATCTAAAAGTTTAGAGTCTGTAATTAAAGTGGTTATACGCATTTATTTTTATGCAGTTGGATATAAGGAAAATTAATTAAAAGAGCTTGAAAACTTTGAGTTTTAACGATAATGACAAAATAAAAGATAAAGTGAATAGTACCAGAATTGACTTTTTAGTGTAAAAATATGATTTTTCGTTAACGTAAATAGTACCGGAAACTTTTCGTTAAAATTCCCTTAAATATATAGTAGAACCTTGATCATTTAATAATGGAAAGTGCTAAAAAGACTTTTTTTTTAAATCCCACAGCATCCTTCTTTGTATGTCGGAAATATAAAGCGAGTGGATCGAAAAGAACAAGAACATGTCGATCTATTTTATGGCGATGCATCATAAGCATAATTGCACACTCACACAATCTTTGCCGAGAGATATTATTGTTCGATGGAACCGATGAACTACCCTTGCTTTTGGATAGATATGTGGGACAAAGAGCTCCTGGTACCTGCTGCCCACACCTCCTCCTGTCCTTTGAGAATTGTGTGAACGAAGGGTGGGGAGAAGAGAACAATTCTCGATAGTCTTTCTACCATATTAATATTTAACATCAATTTTCGTATCAACATATCATCCAACGTTTTTTTTCTTCTAATATTATCATTTGCAGACTCATTGAGTTTTATTTTCCAAAAAGTAGGGAAAAAATTAAATTTCTTATAAAGTTGATAGATAATTTAAATTGAATAGAAGTAAATAAATAAAACCCGGAAACAATAATATTAATCGATAGAGAGGAATCGTTTAAGAGACGAAGACCGACACACACGACATTACAGCTCCTTCCTCTACTCCTTTAACCATATCGATCCTTTTTTTTTTCTATGCTTTAATAATTTTGTAATTTTTCGACTTCTCTTCCTCCTAATTTCTTCGTCGCTCGCAAAATTCAGTTCCTTGATTGATGATCAGTATATGCCGACGAAGAACATAAAGATTAAAGGGCGAAGCTTGATTTGGTTATACTAATGGAGGGCCCCCATAAACTCAATTCTGACGTTGAGGCGGAGGATTTGGCTTCTAGGGTTTCGGATTTTTCACTTCGCGGCGACACCTCCCACTCGAATTTCCATTCTTCCCTGGTAATTTCAATCCTCTATTGCTTTATTTGAATTGGGATTTTGTGATTTTTTTTTTATTGCGTGTGTTTAAGTTTTCAGTTGAATTTTGGAATTTGATCTTATCTTATGCTTTGTGTTTATTGTTCTTGATTAAGTCCCAAAATTTAATTGGTATTGCCTCGGCTACGAGAACAATTAGGATTTAGGGTTTCTTTTCGTGGTTCGGAAGTAAAACTCAATTTGGAGAGATGGGAAAGTTACAGTCTTTCGGTGGTTTTTCGTGGTTTCAAAATTAGGGTTTCTCTAAAAATAAGATAGTGATTTAGGTCTTTCTGATTGATTTAGGTTTTGATTTTGCTGCCGTGTTGCTTTGTGCTTGGGGCTTTCTACTTATTGAATTGGAAGTTTGAGTCTTTTCGAAGTTGGATATTTGAAACACTAACCGGTTCTGTTTTGTGGATCACAGAATGATGGAGTTGTTAATGGAGAGCGGAAGCATAACGATGATCAAATAATGACAGAATCTAGAGAATGTGATGCTGGGAATCACGGGAAGGAGAATGGGGAGCAAAAGAAATACTTTTATTATGATGCTCCCGTTTCTGAAGAAACCGGGGTTTGGATACCTGTTTCTGTTCCACCTATGTGGGAAGCTGAGCATGATGGGTGGGTAAAAGGTTTCTACTCTAATGGAGGATACTTGCCTGAGAGTGACATGGGTTGGGGCCAGTATATTGGGGATGAAAAGGAGCTGACCATGTGGGATGTGATGGTAGAAATGTTGCTTGCAGCCCGTGGGAAAGTAAGTTCATTAGCTTCAGCTGATACATACGGATGTAAACTTTCGTGGATGTCTGATAATCTCCTTGATCAAGCATGGAAAGAAATGGCCCAAACACTCACTGATGCAAATTTTGCTAATGTAAGAGAACTCATTGAAGCTGATCCCCCAAAATGGTTGGCCGATAGTTCTGCATCTGCTTGTATGCTGTGTGGTGTGCATTTTCATCCAATCATGTGTTCTAGGCATCACTGTCGGTTTTGTGGAGGAATATTTTGTGGCGACTGCTCTAAGGGAAGGAGTTTGATGCCGGCTAAGTTTCGTGTTGCAGATCCCCAACGAGTCTGTGATGTATGCTGTGTACGACTAGAGTCTGTCCAGCCGTACTTAATGGACCAAGTAAGCCATGCAGCCCAGGTGCCAACCCAAGATCTTACAGACCTTAGTACTTTGAGGTCATGGGTTAATATTCCTTGGGGACAGTGCATGGAGTATGAGATATACAAGGCGGCAAATGCAATTCGTGCTTATAAGAAGGTAAGAGTCTTAAGTGGCAGAATTGTTGAACAAATATATTATTGATGCTTGCTGTTTTAATATCCAGTGAGCTGTGATTTTACTATGACTGTTTGCTTAGGCTTGAGAATTTGGTTGTCCGACTTAAATAAATGTGTGGTGGGAGAAGAATTCATGAATATTGTTGTTTGTATGATATTAAAATGTACCCTTAATTTCTGAATGAGATTATCTTTCCAACTTTCTCGAGTTTCTTTTTCTAAATGCTGCTCATGGAAATAATTGCCTCAGGTGTGTTCACTAAAGCCCGAGAAGTCAATTCCAGATACCATTCTGAGACAAGCAAAAGGCCTTGCAATAATCACTGCTGTGAAAGTTGGAGCTATGGTTACCTACCATATCGGTACAGGTGTTGTGATAGCTCGTAGAGAAGATGGCTCTTGGTCTCCACCGTCTGCTGTTTCTACATTTGGTTTAGGTTGGGGAATGCAGGTATGATATTTTCACTGTAACAACTTTGACTATAATTTCCGGTCTGACAATTTTCGACCACTATGACCAAGATAGCCAGTGCATACCTGTGTTCAGGTTTAATCAAATGTACCAAATTTAGAAATTTTGTGCTTTCTATATTATTTTAAATTGAATCCTTGTTTGAATAGTGATATTAAATCACCACGTGTTTCGTCATTTTCTAAGGATTTCAAAACTCTGTTCTCATGCCTGTTTTTTATTGTTGCAGGCTGGAGGGGAGTTGACAGACTTTATTATTATTTTGAGGACAAGTGAAGCTGTAAAGACATTCAGTGGTAATGTGCATCTATCAGTAGGAGCCGGCTTGAGTGCAGCAGTTGGCGTTGTTGGAAGGGCAGTTGAAGCTGATGTTCGAGCCGGTGATGGCGGTTACGCTGCTTGTTATACATACAGCTGTAGTAAAGGTGCTTCTCATAAGCCTTTTTTTATGTCTCACCTTATACCCTTCACATATGCCTTTTTGATGTCTCACCTTATACCATCAGAAATGTCCACTTTAGCAAGTTAGCATACGTTTGGCATCGTGATGTTATATCTGTAATTTCTTTCATATTTTCATCATTTGTCCTGCATTTGTTGCATAGTTTCCTTATTGAGATACCACACAACTTCACCAAACATTGCATTTGCAGGTGCATTTGTTGGATGCTCACTTGAAGGTAGCATTGTAACCACCCGCACGAAAGTGAATTCTCGATTTTATGGCAGCCAGTCAATAACTGCATCAGAAGTTCTTCTTGGCTCGTTGCCTCGACCCCCTGCTGCTTCTACGCTCTATCGTGCTCTTGCAGATCTATATCAGAAGATCGAGCAGTGTCCCCAAATCCTTCACTGAAGATTTCTAGGCGATCATGGGGAAACAAATCGTTGAAGTTTGTACATTCTATGCATATATGCTTTGAAGCTTTTCAATTGTCTAAGGTTCGTTGCTGCCATTCTTTGCCCGTGAAAAACTTTCTGGGACTTATCGTGTACATGGCGACCACCGCAAGGGAAGGGGGAAAATGTTCCTTATTGGAGCCACTGTATATAATCATTCCTTCTCGTTTTCTATCTGTAAATTATACATTTATTCTGGGGAAAACCAGAAACTTACCGAAAAAGTATTTCTTAACAAAAAACAAAATCAGAAAAGTCGGTGTTTTGTTGTCGCTGTTCTTGAGATGTTTAACTCCGCTTATGTAAGTTTATCTTACGCTGTCGGTTTCAACTTCCAAGGCTGGATAAAGGAGGGGGTGGGCATCAGGTAATCAATAGCGGACACTCTGTTTGCACCTAGAATCCCTATGATGATGATAAGGCTTAGTTGTTGTTGCTTTAATCTGGAGGAGTGCACCTAGAATCCCTAGAATGATGATAAGGCTTAGAATCCCTATGACGATGACGATTTGCGACAATATTATGAACAAATTTCGTTCTAAAAACGAATTGTCGAGTTTTAATCTAAAAGTACCGTCCTCGCCAGCAGCCTTCCTCTGCCCTTGCCGGAATAATGCACCACATCCCCTAGTTATTTTCCAAGTTTTCCCGTTTCATTTAAATTTTCTTCCACCTGCGGATTCACTTATAATTCAGCAAATCGAACCATAAATAAATAAATAAGTTTTAACAAAACACTCCTGGTACTATTCATTTTTAACAAAAAATCATATTTATACATTTTCCTGTTACCATTCACTATACTTTAAAAATGACTTTTCATTAAAAATGAAGTTTTTTTTTTATTTTTCGTTAGTTTTCCTTAAAAAAAATGGTTCAATTATTTCATATCAAGTGATCGATGGAAACCCGACTCGATGATTCGATCGAAAATAAAAAAAAACAAACAAACGAGCGATCAAGGTAAATTAATGCATCAATCCTTCCAAATGATAAGTGGAAAAAAGAAAAAAATTGACAAAGAAGAATAAAATCGGATGAATGAATTTAACACAAGACCATGAACTATTTATAATTTAATTTTTAGTCCTTTTTTGTTAAGGAAAAAAATAAAAGACAAAAAATGAAAAAAAAAAATAGCTGCTCCTACTCACTGTACTTGTAACTGATCAACTGAAACACCCTGGAGACATGAAGTGGAAACTACGCAAGAACCTCCATCAAGAGACTCGCACACAACTAAAGACGGTAAAGTTGAGGAATTCTCCAAACGCTGGATCCATTTCGCCTCTAATCGGTTCCTCCAACTTACCTTGTTCGAGTGCTCCCGAGCGTAAGTTCGAGATCATCTGATACGCATTCCTCAATCCTCTCACCTTCCCATGGCTTTACTAGTCCTGTTGTGTTACTGCCAAATGCAAACTCTGCTGCCATCCCGTCGGACATTGGAACATCTCCGGTGTGATCAATACTTGCAGCAACTGCCGGGGAACATGTTCCACTTTGCCCGGGAGTCCACATCCGAGACCCTCCACCTGACAAAGCCTCCTTCAAGTTAAAAGGGTTTCTCGAGACAAGGCTGAATGTTGGCGATGATGGGCCACTCTGGGGGATTTGCAGTCCAGCAAGCCATCCTGAATCAGGCAGAACCTGGCGACCGGGGCTTGGTGGGGTGGACGAAGGCAGGAAAGGATAATGCTGCCCTGCCCAGTTTGAGCCAGCCACTGCTTCGTCCCAATCGCTCTTGGTTCGAGGAGTTCGACATGTTGGGGAGCTCAGTGGTGGGGTAACTGGAGCACTTATGGAACCCCCTTGAACAAAGAGTTGGGGGAGCTTGGACGTGGCGGATGATGAGCCTGACGAGAGCGTTTTAAGCCATGGGATCAGAGAATTGGCATCAGCATTACCGTTTCCATTTGCAGGGTAGCGAGCAGGACTTGGGAAGGAAGATGAGGCAGGACTTGGATTGTAGGATGCTCCGGGACTTGGATTGTAGGACGCACACGGACTTGGCTGGTATGATGAACACGGACTTGCTGATGTAGAACCCCCCATTATGTCCATGCGATCCACGGGTTTGCATCCCTGCAACAATGAACACATAAGATATGGTGAGACAAACCAATATAATATGCCAGATTAACCATTTTATGTCTAACGAATTAAGAAACGCAATTTCCTAGCAGACGTAAAATTGTTTTCCTAAATTTGAACAGATAAAATAGTTGATAGAAGCAGAAAGATTTGTTCTTGACCGATTACTCTTTACAACCATGTTTTCTGCACCAAAGGATAACACAAACGAGCAGAGTTCTACGATCATCACTCCTATAGTTGTTGCAAGTTCGAAAAAGCATTGAACCAATGATAAAAGTCTTACGAAACTGCAATCCGGCTACTCTCCCCGAAAGAATCCTTTCAGTGAGTAGCGGGAAAAAACTTGCATGCACTCGGGTTCACATCCTTTGTTCCTACAGCAATCATCGCGCGAGGTGACCTAATCCCGTAACAAGTGTTACATGAACGAGGGGACAAGTGTTACATTAACAAGGAATGGTGACACAGATGTAATTTGACTAATTGCACCTAAATACAGAAGAAAGACACAATTAAAAGAGGGGGCAATAATGTCAAACAGTGGATGCATGCATGTTATTAGTTGGTTATCGGCCCCTCCACGACACGCCATCCCCCAACATGTTCCCTCCATCACAATCTCAAACCCACCACCGCACACGCATTCCTGCCTCAGATTCGCATTTACAAATTTGGCCAAAAAAGGCAAATCCATCAATAAAATCACCCTTTTCTCACATAAATCTCTCTTTTGGGCCAAACCCTGTCACAACATTAACATTACTAGTTAAGATTAGGTATCAAACTCATCGACACAAGCATCAAGATCTAACACCTACGTGGGTCAAACTCAATGAAGACAAATATTGCTAAACCAAAACTAATGTCACTTTTTATAAAAAAAAAAAAAAAAAAAAAATCAGATGGTAGTTTCGTCACGGCAAACCATTATTTTAGGAGTCGGAAGACTAAAAAGCATTTTTTCACCAGTTATATAAATCGAATCCAAAATGTGAGACTAAAATATAGCACATTATTTTAATCGTTCTAAATTAACAACTAATTATTATAATAAACACCAAGATTAAAAAAAGGAAGAGAGCACGGGCCCACAAACCATCATATGCCATTGCCATGTTCTCAATCTAACGGGAAAGTACTGTTACCCGCAAATCTCGGAAAACAGGCCATAGAATACCAAAAAAAATAAATTAAAACAAAATTCATCGGTCGTCGCACCCTTTTGGCTGTATAAAGACCAAACTACCCTCGCAGCCCAACGGAGAGTTAAGCCGGGTGGAACGGCACTTTGGGAAAGACGAAACGATAAGTTTGCCACGGTAAAAGGTATTTTCACTTTCACGCGAAATCTACAGATTCTCACGAGAAGTAAAAAAAGAAAAAGTCTAAAGCAGGTCACGGTCCAGAGACTGATAAAATAGAAAGAACATTCAGTTGAATTAAAGCCGAGTGAAAGATGGAGGTGGGTAAAATAAGCCAAATGACGAAACTGCCCTCGACAGAAAACTCGAATGGACGACCTGGATCGAGTGTGCGGGGAGGTCATTTCCCCCCGTCTGGCAGGGTATTTTGGGAACACAAAAAGGTACTGGTCGTCTCTGAGCTTCGAGTTCATCGTGTTCATGTAAAAAAAAATGGAAAGCAGCTGCAGAAGCGAATCTCGAAGAACCTCGTGCTCCGTGCTAACGTGCGCCGGTAGCTAACATAATTAACTAAGAAATCAAACGAATCCCAACCGTCGATCGCCGCAATCGGCACCGGACTAATCGCCGCTTAAGCTACCTTAACCAAGAGTTTTCAAAAACGCACAGAAAAAAATTTGGATCGGGAACAGATTTCGAGCACCGCCGCCGCAATTTAACGGCGCAGGAGCCGATTTGCTATCGTGCGCATTCGAGCTGAAAATGCTTCGAGAATTTTAGATAGAGGGAGTGATAGAGGGAGTGGGGATGAATTGTGTGTGTACCTTTCGGTAAGTGGTGCCGTCTTCCTCCACGGTCCATCCGGCTTCGTTGCAGAGAGCTTTGAGGACCTCGTTGTTGTCGCAGTGCTTAGGGAGCTTGTAGTTTCCGTACATCCTCAGCCCGGAGTAGATCTTCGCAGCGATGGCACGGCGCCGCCGCTCCCGCTTCTTGTTGTTCTCTCTCTCCTTCCACGTCGGCATTCTGGTTCCCGACGTCATCATTCGGTCGCGCGGCGTTTCTGATTAACTTTCTCGGCGAACCAAACGGATCTACCGGAAAGCGGGGAGGACCGGTGGCGCGAACCGGGAGTTGGCGGTTTTTTGGTGGAGGCTGAGTGGTTTTATTACAGAGAGAGGGAAGTGAGGCGGGGGAGGGGGAGTTTGGGGGAGGGCGAGCTAAATACAACGAGTAAATGTAACTGCCCTTGTATGAAGAAAATAATTACGAAGGTGCCACTCATTTTGTTTTGATTTGCTTTTGGGTTCCGACTCCGGAATCACGGGGCTTAACACGTGTTTAGGCTTTTTGAAAAGGTTGCGGTTGTAGCATGAAGCATCGGACTTTTGCGGCAGCTACGAGTGACCACGGCGTCGTTTTGGTTTATAGATAGCATTAAAATGATTGCTTTGCCTGTTGATTTATATTTTGATGTTCTAACAAAGCCAAGCAGGAGTGATTAGGGATAAAGACAGGAATGGGCAAAATGGGGAATTTGAGTGGGAGAGAGGGGCTATTGGGGATAAGGTTATGATTAGGCTTGTCATGATTGTGACAAAATTTCAAACGGTCACATTCACTTGACCAGATCGCCTAATTTTGACAAATCTTGCAATTGACCGGCCCTAATCTTTTCCCGGGTCGCGCTAATTGGAGTATTGAACCAAGCTACCAATATTTCAAGGCCAAACTGAGTTGAGTCTAGGGTTTAAACACTTTTTAACAACATGCACAAGTGGGCAGGCTACGAATGAATTATTAATATAGCGTAGCATCGTGACGATGATTGTCTAAAATGTTAGTAACGGTGAATAAATGTCCAAACGATATTAAGCAAATTAATTTGCTAACTATTCTCACGCTCATTTCACTATTTTTTCTCTTCTTTTAGTTTTAAGAATCAGCTCACTTTAGTTTGAATTTCTGATTTAAAGATATGTTTTGTTGTCAGCTATTTACGCGCATGTGTTAATGTTGATTTACATTAGGGGTGGGCACGGTTCGGTTCGATGGGGTTTTGAGTAAAACTGTAATCAAAACCAAAACTTCTGTGATGCGGTTCGTACGGTTTCAAAACCGAAATGAAATCAAAACGTTTAGTTTGGTTCGGTTCAATACGGTTTCAAACAGTTTCGATTCGATTTTTGAGAAAAAAATATACAACTTAAAATTTACACATACGTACACATAAGACGGTCTCATTTTCCACACATTACAAAATTAATAAACTTGTAGATTGTATTCGAGTAATTGTCATTAGCAGACAATTCCAAAAACAGCAAGGGTGAAGGATCTAATCTTACCAAAAACTAGGTGCTTATTTCATGCGATCACAATGTAATTTTCAGTGTATACATACTTTAATTCTTTAAATGTTTAGTACACCATTCATTTACGTAGTATTTCTTTTTCCATCTTTCAAAATCTGGAGATCAAAATAACAGTGACTATGACATGGAATTTTTTTTAAATTTTTTTACCTAGTGTTGGAGAATGATGGTTTATTCATAACGAATGAAGCACCAAAGATAAAAATTAAGAAAATGATGACATTCTAGTGTGGTTGAATTCATACTAAAGAACGAAGGAAGCACCAAAGGTAAAAATTAGGAAAATGATGACATTTTAGTGTGGTTGAATCCATACTAAATGTATAGATTCTAACATACAACCAATTAAAACATGACATTTAATTAAGGTGCGGTTTCGATTTAGATGATGTTTTCAAAAGCTAAAACATAAACCATACCGTTTTCTACATTGAGGTTCGGTTTCAAAACCGCAGAATCAAATCGCTCAAAACAGTCTGATTTGATTCGTGTTTCAATTTCGATTTTCGATTTGAATGGCCTATCCCTAATTTACACAAATTTCGCAATACGTTAACGACCGAACGTAAATTATTGAGTGGTGAAAATGATTGAACTTTTGCATTTGAGCGTCTAAGCAATAATTAATAACCTGAAATGGAAAGGGTTCGGAACGGCGCTTTAATTAGACCACGAGTAGAACTAATAGTGTAAGCTACGCCCACTCTAACCTTAGCCTAGGTTGGTTGGGAGCGCAGCGTACATATAATAATAGTCAAAGATGAAGAGAGAAAATCGAATGATTTGATTAGGGCAGTGGGGAGGGGGGCAATTTTAATGCGGCGGGGCCGGGATTGCGTGCCGGCGTGCGGTGGCTGTGGGAAAATCTCTCTCTCTCTGCTGTCATTTTTGTCTTTTGTCAGTACCAACAGATCCTCTCTGGATCTTTTGATGAGGATTCTGAAAATAAGTAAATTGTGTCTGTTCATCGTACATCATACGATCAGTTTTTATCAAGTACTGTTTGTATTTAATTTTAAATAAAAATATTTAAAATAATTTACGATTGCATGATATATAATGAATGGATATAATTCAAAAATCTCCGAAATTCTCACAAAGAAGATCTGACAAGGATTCGAATTCTTGTCAGCACTGTGTGTGTGTGTGTGATGTGTGATGTGTGTTGGTTGGTACTTTGGAATGGGGTGCACTGGATAAACCGTGATCCGTCATGCATCGGATTAGTGTCCTTTGTCCTGTTTGGGAGGTTCATGTGACAAATGTTTGGGACTAGTGTCCGTGATCCGTCATGCAGGCCCAGCTCGCCATCCCTCTGGCCCTCAGCCTCGTGTGTCATATCACCTTAGTCGATGATCAGGTGGTTTCTGCTACTTTGTAAATTAGGTAGTGTTTAGGGTTCAGGGATGGAGCTAAAATGGGATCATTGATTACTTATGACCCTAATAGTTTCATATAGTTTCGTAGTCTTGATGTATATTCATATGTTTGTTTGTTGGCCCTAATAGTTTCATAGTCTCGATGCATATTCATATTTATGTTTGTAGATAAGTCATATATACAATTGCGACAAATTGAAAAAATGAGTAAAAAAACACTTAACTACAACATGCTACTTCTTTTTTGTCTTTCTTCTCTTATTTCTTGCATGCGACCATATGATCTACAACAAGTATTCGATAAAATGCCTCACTTGATAGGCTTTGACAAAAATCGAGAGAATACAATATAATTTGGTAGGTAGCTCGGCGAAATGATCCAATGAAGTTGTTTTTGCTAAAATTATGACCTCATTGTTATAAAATTATGACTCTTCCATTGTTATGTTGTTAAACATGTATGGATAAATGGGTGATTTCTTCAAACCTCTTATTAGCGTGTTTCACCGTGTGCAAACGGAATCAAAAGACAGTGCAGAAATTACCTTTCAAATTGATATTGTCATGTTGCGAATATGAAACTATAATTTTCGACAACAATCAACCTAGGTATAGATTTATCAACCTAGTTTAGAATCCTAACGCATAATTTTGCATCTTATTACCGACAAGATAATCTCAAAAAACGACGTTAATTAACGACAATATAACGTGATCACAATAGTCGTATTTTGTTAGGTTTTTAAGGTTTTGATGTGATTGACAACTTAAAATATACGTAGGAGTTTGTAAAGATAAAGAAGCGAGATGCAAGTGTCAATTGGCAGCTTCCTATTTGGACAATAATATATCACTTTCATAAGATAAGACGTGTAAAATAAAATAATTAGAGGGTCGCTCATGTTACATGTATCAATTCGCCCCAAAATTCAACAACCTGCACGTGCGCCGCGGACTCCACCATCGGACCAAAACCAGATTGGATCCCACGGCGTTGGGTCCGCCAAAGCTTTTTTGCCATTCACCCATGGTGCATGCCACCTGGATTTGTGGGATCTACCTCGTATGGTGGTGGTGGTGGTGGGGGTCCACCGTTTTATATATACCTTAATCATGTCCATCCCACCGGCGGCCCAACGTGATGCCCGATGTGTCAGCCACCCACGAGGCACCGGAGATACACTGCTTATTTGACCAACCTTCTCTCCCTAAAAACGACAACACACATTATGCTCTCTTTACAAAGTATTTGGGTCGTTTTATACAAATTTGCAAACGAAAGCCCTCCACTTTTTACAAAACCATGATGTATTATCTTATTTTTAACAAATTTAATGAGAAAAACAAGGTTATCTTATCAACAATTAATAGTTAACGACCATCCCTCCACTTTTTACAAAAACATGATGTATTATCTTATTTGTAACAAATTTAATGAGAAAAACAAGGTTATCTTATCAACAATTAACAGTTAACGACCATTTACATTCGCAGATTCAACCCCTTGTCTCTCTAAGAGAACTTTTGAGAAACAATTTGGTCCCACAATAGCTATACTCAAGGCAAGCGTCTCTTCTCTGCCTCATGTAACAAAATGGCAATTGATCAACGCTATTTTTGCTCTCGTATACCCCAACAAAAAGAGCTAAACAATAATACAGTAGATATTTTATCTCTTTGTTGTAATATACTGTTTCAATTTTGACATGTAATGGACTTACACAACAACAACTTGTCTTCGATTGGGATTTCGATTAAGGCTGATTGGTGTTATCCCAATAAGTCAGCGGGCGAAAAGAGGATAAGGCTCAACAATCATTCTATCCCGGTCGAAAAAGCATGTTTCCCTCAAATAATACGCACAGTAGGTCATTCTCAAACCAAAAGGATCATCTCCGGATCCTTTTGGTGAGGATCCTGAGAATTCGTTAATCGTGTTTGTTCATCATACATCGTCATGAGGTCAGTTTTTGTCAAGTATTGTTTGTATTTAATTTTATATAACAATATTTACAATAATTTCTAACCACATAATATATGATGAACAGACAAAATTGATGAATTCTCAGAATCCTCGCAAAGAAGATTCAGCGAGATCCGGGTTCATTCTAAAAAAATCAATCTTAATCGTGAAGTTGTTAGATATTACCACGTACGTACCATTTTTAATTTTTCTGGCCTGCTCAGCCTCTGACAGTTTAACATGTGCAATCAGTCGTGTACTATAAATCTGTGTTCTCAAAATCCGTGCGGTTGCGCGGGAATGTGGTGGTTGGCCGCGCGCCAAAACGTTGCTTGGGGTTCTTGAGCCCAAACCATAACATTGGAACCATTGGTGGGCTGAAATTATGTCCAAACCAATGCCTCATGGCCCAATCTGTTTTTCCTTTTTTTTCAAAGAGTGATTGGTATAAAATTATGTCATTAATTAACAAATTCAATCGTCCTGTTTACTTC